GGCGCTGCAGCGCCCGCCCCGCCGAGGGGCCCGGATGCGGCCGCGCCGGAAGAGAAGCGCGTCTGCCTAGGGCCCGCCATCTTGTGCGGCAGCGAGCAGGGCGCGGGGGGCCCCGGTAGCATCCGCGCAGGATCCCGCCGACGGGGGCCCATCATGCCCGGACACCTGCAGGAGGGCTTCGGGTGCGTCGTCACCAACCGCTTCGACCAGCTCTTCGATGACGAGTCCGACCCTTTCGAGGTGCTGCGCGCGGCGGAGAGCCGGAGGAAGGAGAGCGGCGGCGGCGGCGGCGGGAGCCAAGCGGGCGGTGGGGCCCGCGGCCCGGCGGGCGCGCAGAGCGGCTCCTCCGGCGGGGCCGGTGGCGCGGGCCAGGCGGGCGGCGGCGCGGGTAGCGCGGCTAAGCAGCTGCGCAGGGAGTCGCAGAAGGAGCGCAAGAACCCGCTGCCGCCCTTCGCCGGCGGGGACCGCCGGGAGGACGGCGGGGGCCAGCCCGGAGCGCCGCTGCGGAAGGAGGGTGAGCGGGGCCGAGGGCCGCGGGGAAGGAAGAGCGGCCCGGCCCGCACAAAGGGGGCCCGGGCAGGGCCGGGCCGCACGTGGGGCCGCGCATGGCGGAGCCGCCCGGGCAGAGGGAGCGGGAGCGGCGGCCGCGGGCCCGCCCGGCCACACGTGTCCCGCGCAAAATGGAGTCGGGCGTGCGGGGGGCGCCCGGGGCTGGCCCGGGCCCGGCAGAGGGAGAGAACTGACGTGAAATGGGAAATCCTGGCAGTGTATAGGATCGTGGAGTGGTTCGGGCTGGGAGAGACCTTAAAGCTCATCCCGTTCCACCCCCTGCCATGGGCAGGGACACCTTCCACTAGCCCACGTTGCTCCAAGCCCCGTCCAGCCTGGCCTTGGACACCTCAGGGATGGGGCAGCCACAGTTTCTCTGGGCGACCTGTGCCAGGGCCTCACCACCCTCACAGGGAATAATTTCTTCCTAGTTTGCAATCTGAACCAGCACATGGAATCCTGGAATCGTTTGGTTTGGAAAAGACCTGAAAGGTTATCTCGTTCCACCACCCTGCCATGTGCAGGGACACTTTCCACCAGACCAGGTTGCTCCAAATCCCGTCCGAACTGGCATCCTGAACTTGAATCGTGTTTTGGGTGGCCCAACGGATTTGACGGGATATCTGTCAGTCCCTGGGCTTTCCAAAATCCACTCGGGTCGTTTTTCTAGGGAACAGCATCGATAGCAATCATCTGCGTGTCTTCATATATTTAAATAATAGCTCGTATGGGTTCTCAGCTCTGTTTGTGTAAATCGCTAAGACATCCCACACGGGAAACCTTGGAAAAAAGAAATCCAAGTATAAATAGGTTAAAGGAATATGGTGTGTACAGAGCAATTAGTAGGACAGGGTCACGCGTGGAGAGGGATAGATGTGGACACATGGCGTCCCCAGCCCATGTTGTACCGCGCCCAAACTTCAACTCGTCAGGTGGATCAGGACTAGGATTAAAAGGAATCCTTGAAATGCAGCAAAGTGTGGTGACAGCAGGTGATGTGGGGGTGAGGGAATAACATGTTAACTGCAGTTTAAACGAGCTTTTCAGAAATCTTGATGTTATGTGAAAGCATATTAATGCTTCAGCGTTTGGGTTGCAAAATGATTCTGCACTGTGTTTTATGCTTTTTGGGAAAGAAATAGTTTTAATATAGTTGTTTTGGAAACTGGGTCTTCTAAATGTTATTTGAAGACGCCTTGTAAAAAGACAAATTTAGGAACTATGTTGCAGTTGTCTTTGCTTATGGATCTCTTGTTCCCTAACACTCCAGAGTGTTTTCAGTGTGAAGGATGCAAGGATTTGTCCCGACTCACAATTTGCTAAACCAGTGTTCTCTGGAAGTGTTGGTCAGGTGTAGATTCTGGTGGTGTCCCCCACGAGGTACACCTGGAACATGGCAGTGCCTTTGGCACCTCAGCAGGACACTGAGGGGTTTGGGCAGGGCTGGCAGGCCGTGTTTACCTCAGTTTTCACATCTTGTTTTCAAGAACAGTGTGAAAAATAAATATTTTTGTGGCTTATTATAGTAATGAAACAGAGAAAGACGGGGCTGCTGTTGAAGCAGTGGCCGTGGAGCAGCGTGGTAAACAAAGTCACTTTCCAGTTTGAAAACGTCTATTTTTATGTGTGACTGTTTTTGCACTTCTGGCATTATAAAGGTGCCTAGTGCCAAGGTTTGTTGCCTGTGCGAATGTATTTAAAAGTGTTCCACTACTCCACGAAGCTGCAGGTGATTTGACTGGTGAATTAGCAGTTCAAAGCTTGGTGATACTGAGAAATAACTCGTATTTTGGGTTAGGCTTCAGCAGGAACCGGGTTTTGCTGAGCACAGGGCGTTGAAGTGGAAATTCAAAAGCCGTGGCTGTTCCATTCCAGTTCTGCAGCATACCTCCTCTGTGCCACCGGCCTGCTCCTTTCCCTGCTTCCCCTCCTCACATGGAATGCTTGTCCTCCTTGGAGAGCCCTTTTCCAAGTGCAGGCGGAGGAGATTAACCCCTTGTTTCCTCAGCGAGTGAGGAATGCTTAAGAAACTATGAATGTCATGCAAACTTCATGTTAAGTACAGCCCGTAAGGTGAGGGAGTCATTGTTCATCTGGGTGTGTTGGCTTGGATATCATTACAACTGTAACTTCTGTAGCCCCACCCAAATTTGACATTGCTTGTTAAGCAGGAACTTAGTTATTTAAAAAAATTCAAAAATCAGCTTTTAATTTAAAAGCTAGTTCATAATTCTTGAGCCAGTGTTTTGGCAAGAAAATGGTATAACAAAGCAGCAATATGTTTGTGCAGATCTTTCTGAAGAAGAGTAAACAAGGCCTTTCACTTGAGTGGAAAAGAAAACTGTGTTAGATCTTTCAGATAGCTTAGTGAAGAAGAGTGCCCATGGGAGGTTTTTATTTAAAATAAAAACCCTCTCAGAAGGCCTAGGGAGGGAGGAAGGACACTGGGCAGCTCCAGGGCACAGGATTCTTAAGCTATTTTAAGCAGTGAGCAAGGAAGAGAATCTTTGTCAGGGAATGTCTCTTGGACTGGGAGGATCCATGTGGATGGGGGCACCAGTTCAGTACCTGCAGTACTGGGATGCAGATGGCACTTGTCTGGTACAGGTGGACCTGCCTGGATTGTACTGCTGTCCAAAAGAGTTTCCAAGGACAGAATCCCAGGTTTAGGTTGGAAAAGACTTCCAAGATCCATGAGTCCAGCCTTTAGAACAGCACAGGGTCACTGTCCTAGGGAGCACAGAGTTGACTGTCTTAGGACCCAGTGACGTGATACTTTGTTTTGGTGTTCATCAAAATAAACCCCCCCTTTTTTTTACCTGAAAAGGACCTTTCAGAGAAAGAAAAATACTAAAAAATCTTGCTTACCTTGATCCTTGTTTGAAAATTGACTTTGTCATTTCAACACCGATTACCAGTATTTTCCATCAAACACAATTTGATTGAAATCCTGGGTAAAAATGTGAAGAGTGAGATGCTCTACAGTGACTTTTTTATGAAGGTGGAGTTGCTCAGACTTTGTAGAAGCAGCTTGTTTTTAGGGTGCTGGGGGTCGGTATCTGTCCTGGAGCAGCTCCACATTCCGTTGATGTGTCTGGCCTGATGTTTCAGGGATAAGGAGGATTGGCAGGAGGCCTGATCAGCAGCAGCAGCAGCAGCAGGGGGATGGCAAACCCATCGACCGGAGACCTGAACGACGACCTCCCCGGGAACGCCGCTTCGAGAAACCTGCTGAGGAGAAGGGAGAAGGGGGAGAGTTCTCTGTCGATAAGTAAGTTTCGTCTTGTAGGATAAGGAGCTTTCCTACTTCTGACAGGACAGGGCTGCCCTGCCTTCTGCTGTAAAGTTAAAAAAGATAATCGAATCGTAATTAAGTTGATTAAATTTTTGTCATGCAAAAGAAGAGCAGATGTCATACAATTCTCTTTCCCTTTCTGTGATTTTGTTTGCAAACTTAAGTTTTAGGCTGGGAGTGATCTACATAAATAGCTTCATAGGTGTAACTGAAATTGTGGTTTAAATCAAGATATCCACCATATCTCTCTAAATCTGTAGCAGATAGCTCACGAAAGGAACTGAAACTGTTTCCTGCAGGATGAGATTTGTTTGCTGTCACAGCTGTGGCTTTAATCTGTACAGCTGACTCAAAGCCAGCAAAAGTTTGTCCACATAAGTGTTTACACCTCAGCTGCAGTGGGTTCAGACCTAGAAGAAGTGAAGTCATCTTAGGCCAATGTGAGGTTTAAAGTGGCTCGAGTATTTGAGGGATCCATAATTCAAGTAATGTTCAAATATTAAAATTTTAGCAGCCAGAATTAAAATCCTTTTAAAAATGAATTGGATAAAAGTGAGTTAAGTTGGAATTGTAGTATCAGCCAGTTATGTAGAAGAATACAAACACTAAATTTTGGAACTTAATGCCAGAGAATGCAAACAAACAATTATCTTGAGCATTTGTTTCCGGATTCTAAAATCTCAGAATCACAGAATGGTTTGGGTTGGAACAGACCTTGAAGATGATCCAGTTCCAACCTCCTGCCATGGGCAGGAACACTTTACACTAGACCAGGGTGCTCCAAGCCGCAGCCTGGCTTTGAACACTTCCAGGGATGGGGAGTACAAGTGGCTGTTTTGAAACTAAAGCTTTGACCCAGTTACGAAGGAAAAATAAGTGTAAAATTCGCAAAGAGGACAAGAGCAGTAAAAACCATGCTGTAGATTTTTGGGCGTGAGTCACTCACATTTGTCTGTCCATGCCAGGCCCATCATTGACCGACCCATGCGTGGACGTGGTGGACTGGGCCGGGGCCGTGGCCGCGGCCGTGGGATGGGCCGAGGAGATGGGTTTGACTCCCGTGGCAAACGGGAATTTGACAGACACAGTGGCAGCGATAGATCGTAAGTCTTTAACTTTTTCTAAATTATTTGGCTTTTCTTTACAATTCTTACGCAATTGAAAATTGCTCTTTGAATCTCTGTGTCTGGACACTATGATGTTAACTCAGTTTTGTTAGTTCTATTTCAGCGGCCTAAAGCACGAGGACAAGCGCGGTGGCAGCGGCTCACACAACTGGGGAACCGTCAAAGACGAGCTCACGTGAGTACTCTGTCCTTGCTCACTAAAATATTAGCAGGGTGTCAATCAGTCCTAATTAGAGCTTACAGAACGCACAGATTTACCTGCCTTTTGACCTTTGATTTTGATAATTTTACTGCTCTTCTGCAGAATTAAAAAATGAGCAATTTCTTGTAACTTAAGAGATGGCTTCACTGTTAAACTGGAATTTTGGGGAAGTTTAGATTGGGAGGTCTTGTGCTGATCTTTGAACAATTCTTTTACTAGAAACTTGAACAGTTTTTAGATCAGGTTAAGCATGCTTTTCCTATTACAAAAATTCAAGTATTACATTGAAAACTATTTTTAATAGTTTTAATAGTTTAATGACCCAAATCCATTTTGTGTCAGAGGGACAATGGGAGGCTTTCAGGAGGGGTTCAAGGAAGAGTTGGGGAAAACCATTAGTTGGGTGAAAAGCATAGAATTTGAAAGACACAGACAGCACCAGTCCTTAATAAAATAGTAAATCCTTTATAGATCTTGATTGTTAATCTCATGTAGCTTTAAAGAGGGATGAACTTGTAAAGAGCCCAAACTCCACCCGTTATGTAATTGCAGTGAATTGGATCAGTCAGCTGTAACTGAGGAGACGCCGGAGGGAGAGGAGCATCCGCCTGCTGATTCTGAAAATAAGTGAGTACCACCCCTCTTGGTGTCTTTGGTTGCTCCAGAGGTACTAGTGCTTTGCCTTTAACCTCTGACGTTTATTCCCACATCAGTTTTGCCAAATTCAGATTTGTCAGTAGATGATCCACAATGCTGCTGAACCACTGTCACGTTAAAAACTTCATGTCTGAAAATTGTGGTCTTGAAAATGTTCCTTGGTGTCCTGCAGGCTCTTGAGTCACTTTCAGATTTATTTATTATTAATAATTTCTAATACACTTTACGTCTCAAAATTGCAACTCCTGATTCCAAATCCAAAAGCACCTGTGCTCAGAACTAGGTAGAACCACCAAGCAAAAGGGACAAAATACCAGTGGAAGGCAACTTTTTTAACCTTAGTTTTCCAAAATAGCTTTGAGACTGTGTCACTGGCTGTAGGAGAAAGGCTGTATCTCTAATTCTCCAGCCTCTGTGTGTGCAGGCAGTTTTCAGAGTTGTCTGGATCTCTTTCCATTTCATTTGGACACTGTTACAGAAGGAACCAGTGACTGGGTGAGTGAAAAAGTAACCAGAGAAGCAGAACAAGTGTTACTGAGTTGGTGTGAAAATATGATGAAAATTTTTATGGTAGCACAGTACAATAAAATACTGTATTTTAATGAGGAATGTGCTTTATAGTGGATTCAAAACAAATGGCAAATGGATAAGACAGAATTTTGATTTCTAATCTGGAGTTTGCTGTACCTTGATTTCCTCACTAATAACTTTGGCAAAGAAGGTCCAGTTACTGCCTAGAAAGTAAGAAATGGATTTAGTTTAACTGAAAAAAGACTAAACATTCTTACTTCTCCAGTGTTGTGATCCAAGGTTAAGGACATTTTTAAGGACTTAAAAGTTGGGCATTGGTCAGAAAATGCAGGCTAGCTAGTCCTTAAAAAAATTCTATGTATTAGAAATCTGGATATATTAAATTTGCTGTATCTACAGTATTCCCTGGATCTTTAGTAGTAGCAGTGCCTGGTGCTTGACCAGATACTGACCCATCCATGTGCAGATCAGTTACCTGCACAACTCTGCAGCTCTTTGGATGTTTTTTTTCTTCATCAAATCTGCAGAAAATTCTCAGTTTCAAGCATAAAACATCTGTTGTAATCATTAGTTGTCTTTATAGGAAAGCATTTTTACATGGATTACTTTTCAAATTGACTGGTTTGGTGTGGATCTCTACCCTAGACGTTTCAGCAGAATTGTAGGATGTTTTTCTGCAGTAAAATGTGCAGGTAATATCTTTGCCTTGAACAAAACAAATTCCTGTGATTACATACAGTGTCAAAAATCACTCTGTCCTACACAATGAGAAAAGAAATACAGTAATTTTGACATAAAATCTCTGCGTTATTACATCAAAATTAATGGCTACCAAATAAAGACCTTTGAGGTTGAGGCTTTCATGATCTTTTTGCTGCTCTCGTTTTCTATAAATCAGAAGTTTAGTTGCATAAACACACTGAACAGTGTCCAGAGGCTTGTCCTCCTCTGTAGCTGGAAAATGTCTATTACTGGGCATAGTGGTTGTGTGTTTTACTTAAAAATAGCTCTTTGGCAGAAGGCAGAGGTGATGTATCTCACAAGTGAGTTGTGTGCTGTTGTTTTTTCAAATAAACTGAAAGTAAAACTTGTTTGAAATAATTGTCTTTAGTTTAATAAAGGAAGCAAGCTCTCCAATTTTTATTAAATTCTATTTTTAAAAAGCCCTAAAAAGCGTGAAAACTCTTGGAAGAACAAGTTCTCACTGCCCTAACTTGATTATTAATGAGAGATGTGCCTCAAAAAACAGGTAAAGCTCCAGACATGTCCATTGCAGAAGTTACTCTTTAATATTTATAAATAAAATTGTCATTAATGTGGAGAACTGATGGCACAGGTCAGTTTTAATTTTAACGTTTTGCTGTGCTCACTATTTAGTTGCTCGAAGGTGACTGGGTGTAATTTTTTTTTGTTTTGTACTCTGGCTAAAGGAGATGAATTTTCCTGTGGTGCAAGTGTGTGTTTATATACATACAGCTCTTAACTTCTAAATACTTGACAAATGTATATTTATAATTGAATTTATAATCTGGTGCCAGCTAACTAGCAGATGATTTTGGAGTTGTATTTGCAGTATAAATTCTAGGTCATGATCATAATATCCGTGAATTTACTGCAGAGAGAATGAGGTTGAAGAAGTTAAGGAAGAAGGCCCCAAGGAAATGACCCTGGACGAGTGGAAAGCCATTCAGAGCAAGGATCGTGCAAAAGTTGAGTTCAACATCCGTAAACCAAACGAGGGGGCTGATGGACAATGGAAAAAAGGATTTGTTCTTCACAAGTCAAAGAGCGAGGAGGTAAAGTGACTTTCCATGCTTGTAGTATCCAGTTTATAAAAGCTTTGTTATTGATAGGCATCTCTTGGAGTGGAAGCACCGTTGTGTGAGACGCTGACCTGCAGCTGGAAGTTTATAAAGTGCAACAACATTCTTTTAGCAGAGTTGAAGTTCTGCAGTAGCACAAGTGGCCATTCTGACTGTGGTTGTTTTTGGGTGAGCTGTACCCTTAGGCTGGCATGTAGTCTGGTATTACCTAGAGATAAGCCTGGATTACTCCTGCACCTAGGCAGGTAGCTCTGTAAGAACTGCCTCTCGGTGAGGATTTTAGAGAAAGGTTGTCAGGTTTTCTTGTTAATAAAGGAAATTTAATGCTATTTAGCGTCTCTGTTAAGCAATACACAAAGTTATGGTGCTTGCTAAACACAGTGTAGGATTGAGGGAAGACTGGTTATGCCTCAGAGACCTTAATACCTCAGCTGTGTACCTTAAATTTCTAACATGGGTGTCTTCTCATTTTGTGATATATAGACAAGCTTTTGGGAAACCAGTTGAAATATATTTGTATGCTTCAGTGATACTAAGCATAGTTCCTATAGAATTGTTTTAAAATCGAAGTTTTCTCAAGCATACTCATTTCAGACATTGCAAAATGTTAATTATTCTGTTCCAAGAGTGGCAAGGAGAGCTGTACAAGGGAGGGAAGTGCTGAGAGCTCTGTTTTGTAATCCAGGGCTGCCTTAATCTTTGGGTTTAATCTTTGCTTTTAACACTCTGTAATATGTTAAGTAGCTCACTTAAGAGATTGGTGGGTGCAACTTTGTATACAGACGGTTATGGCTCCTTTGAAGTAACTAGATAATATGTAATATTCTGCTTGGTCTCCTAATATGTATTCTTGCCTTTTCACACCTTGCCGGTTCTTATCCTGTGAGCTGGGTCATAATACAGATGGGGAGGTATTTTCCAGTTTTCCAATGAAAACTCAATTTCTGTTCTCCTTGAACTCATTCTGAGTTTGACTTGGTCACAGTCAGGCTATTTTCTTGCTGTATGAGGTAGTTCAGTTCTTTAAATGATTGCATGTCTGTTTTCCTTAAGCTGTTTAATGAAGTGTTCATTAAATGCTGTTTTCTCTGGCACGTGTAGAGAAGGGAATTTGAATTGCACTTAATGTTGCTGGGTACTAAGAATTTATGTACTTTACTGAAATTTACTAAGCCTGTGGTCCTTCAAGTTCCCTCAATCTTTCTGAATCAGGTTTATTTGACATTTCATCACCTGAGGACAGTCTTTTTTAACACATGAGCATGTATGATAGTATAAGATGATGGTACTCATGAGCGATTTAGAGACTAGAAAGATCCATACTGTATTTTCCATTTGAAAACTGAATCAGCGCTTAATGAAAAAAAAACAAGGAAAAAACCCCCAAAGAACAGACAAATCCAAACCAAACCAATTAGAATAATCAATTTACTTCTGTGGAAGAACGGACATGATTAGTAGATTGTTCTATTTGAGAGGTTTACTTTTCTTCAGATAAATAAGTTGGATATTTTTAGCACTGTCACATAAGAAGTTAACAGCCTCTTGCTTTGTAAGCATGAAAGTGAGGTATTAACAAATCTGCCTTTAAATTTAGATGCTTTTAGCCTGCTTTATTGTCTGTCCAGCAGATGTGTCTCCCCATCTCACTTATCCATTGTTCCCTGATCCCATGGGAAACAGTGTGGGGATTTTCTCCCTGGATTATTGAAGAATAGCTCTGTAATAGCTTTCTGTTAGGAAAGCCTTTGCTGCGGCTCGTTTGTGAAGGTGGAATATTCAGAAAACGTACCAGTCACCTGCTGTTTCCTCTCTTTGTCCTCTTGGAGTTACTTATGAGTCACAAAATTTAGGTTGCTCGAAGGTTTCTGTGATTCTTATTTGTAAGAAGGGAGATGATGTGTGGAAGTGATCTGGTTTATAGGTAAATTGTGGGTTTCAGCCCCAAATCTTCTGTATTCTTATGACTGAAAACCACCATGTGTCCCAGTAGATTTTCTCAGAAATTTGGATTGACGCATTGTGATGAGCTCCCTCATTCCTATAGTTGGGAATTACTGAAAAATTGCCATAGGAGTCTGTGGGAAAAGGGAACCTGAGGATCTAGTGCTTTTCATCTGCCTTAGTCTTGGGAAAGAGCTCTCCTCCTCATGCTCCTCACTGAGGGGTGAAATGCTTGACCATGTCTGAGGTCTTTCCTCTTTTTCATTTTTTCTCTGCAGTTACTAGAAAGTGATACTTTGGATAAAATGAATTCTCAATACTGTCTCAGATTCTTGCTGGTTTAATCTGAATTCCATGGACACTGGCAGCCCTGGTCTGATGAGCGTCTTTCCAGGAGATTGGGTTATGCCATAAAGGAGAGATACTCTTTTTAACTTCTCTGCAGCTGGTTTAGGGCTTGAGTCTCTAATTTCTACACAAAAAAACAAACAAAAAAACCCCCAAAAACCCCAAACAAAAACAAACCAGGAAGGAGTTACATTGTGGACAGATCTTAAAATTTATTCCAAAAGTTGAAGGCTGGACTTCAGGAAAGGCTGATACACTAATCAGTTGTTGCTCTCTGTACCTGCTGTGCCTCTTTGTGTGCCTTCAAAGCTTCTCACTAATCCAATCACTTCCTTAGAGGAGGTTGCAGTGGGAGACTGAGAAATACATTTTGTAAAAGAATAGTTCATCTTCTCAAAACCTGGAGGAACGACTCTTGGCTGGAGGCTTTGCAGGAAGCTTTTCCATTAACAGTGATTTTAACATCCCGCTCTTCCCTGCCCATCTCCCCATGGTGCTGGAGACCAGCCTGCATGTGTGGTCTGTGCCAGAGCTCCCAGTAGCTCCTGGTGAACCTTCCTGGTGTCCATCTGGGCTTTCTCTTATCTCCACCGCTGTGGCACATCCATCCTCTAAATCTCTTTGGGTGCTTGCACAGCTTCATCTCATCCCTTTGCTGCTTTGTGTGCTCAGTGACATCTGTACCCAGCGAGTTCATGTGACCTGATTACCTGTTGTTTCTGTATGTAGTTGAGTCTCATTTCTTCCTTTTGTTTTCTCCCTTTGTTCTTTTGTCACTTTGGCGTGGACACGCAACTTTCATCAGACAAAGGCGATGACAGAAATGCAGGGGAGTCTGCTGGATTCAAATGAGGTACTGATCCTTTCTATCTAACTGGGAATACCTGTGTGTTAACATGAGCCCCTCCAGAAGGGAAAGTTTGCGCAGTAAAAACTCACCAAAATAGAGAACACAAGTGGATTCACTATGGAGCTCTTCTGTCCGTGCCTGTTGTCTCACTGTGCACAGCACCCTTCATGATTAGTCCCCTTGCTCCTCGTTCACCCAGTTTCAAACCTGACCAGAAATGCTTCTGTCACGAGTCTTTATTTTTTTGTTGCTGGTGTTTTCACATCTCTCACTGCCTGCTTTGACCCTCTTGGTAATTTGTTCTTAATTTTTGTCAGCCTTCACCAAGGCCCTTCAGTGCAGCACTGGTTATGAGATCAGAGCACTATTGAGAGTTGCCACTACATAGAAATTATGTTTCCAAAGATTATTCAGGATAAGCAATTTGTTCAGTATGTCTGTGTCTTTTGTCACCTAAGTGATTGAAGAGCCCGAGGAGAATGTGCCAAGTCTTTTATTGGTGTTTTAAATAAGCTTTAGTTACTCTGGATAGAGAAATAGGTTATGTGTGGAATTTGCTTTTTGTTGGTAGTGTTTTTTGGTAAACTGTAGTGATTTGTTTTTAAACAAAAACAACCTGGGGAAGAAAATCACAGAATTACTGTAGAAATCCATTGACATTATCGCTCAGAAAAGAGAATGTCACCAGTAGATGAAAATAAAATGTCAGTACTCTGCAGTGATTAAAACTGTAGATAAAAAATGAAGTAGTAAGAAAGGAATAAAAAACATAACTGAGGTATTTTGTACTGTTTTACAAAGCATTGATGTACTTTGGTTTGAGTAGTGCCTTGTCAGGCTGAGGTGTGGAATGACTTTTCTCTGGGAAATAACTGCTCAGGCAAACTTCCTAAGGCTGGCAGAGATCTCCGAGGGAAGGGAGTACAACGAAACCTATAAAATCAGGAGTGGAGTGGGGACTAGTTGTTATGTAGAATCCATCCCAGTGGAATGTATTGAAAATAAAGCAGCATGGAGGGTATTTCTCATTGTGCCTGATTAAATTGGAGAGAGACTGTTTGCAACGGCCTGGAGGGACAGGACAAGGGGGGAATGGCTTCCTCCTGCCAGAGGGCAGGCTTAGGTGGGATACTGGGGAGAAATTATTCCCTGTGAGGGTGGTGAGGCCCTGGCACAGGTTGCCCAGAGAAGTTGTGACTGCCTGGAAATGTCCAAGACCAGGTCGGATGGGGCTTGGAGCAACCTGGTCTAGTGGAAGGTGTCCCTGCCCATGGCAGGGGGTGGAATGGGATGAGCTTTAAGATCTTTCCCAGTCCAGGCCATTCTGTGATGATTCCATGAAATGGCGGTGCCGTGCTCTGTAGGATATTGGGGAGGCAAGTGTACAGCTGGGCAGGAAGAGGGATTGTGAGAGTGGGGATGGAGAAGGGTCGTTAAGGCTCTGTCCATAGAGGTGCTTGTGACTGACCTGTGGAATCCCTGACAGCGGCTTTGACTCCAGACTGCTCCATCCCTTGACAGCCTTGTGAAGGCTCCACAAATGGTAATGAAAGTGTACAGAGCTTAATTGCACAATGTGTTACCTTTGAAAGTCATAATGTTGTGTAACTACACCAGAGAACTAAATTGGAGTTGGGAGACCTGAGCTTGCACATGGCACTTGTGTAGGGAAACAAAGTAAGTGGTAATTGCTGTGCCAGGAGTTGGCAAGAAAACGTTGTATGTTGTCATGTTACCAAAACATGATGGTTGGGCCTTGTGATAGGCAGAATTTTAGATTCTGTGTATTGTTCTAAGTGCCAAAACCTGACTTGCACATGGAAAAATGTTTTATACAAAAAAAGAAAAAATAATTGCTTTTTAAAACACCGATTGAGTTCAGTGTGCAATTGAAATACTCAAACGTGCTGAATAATCACATTGATGGGATTTGATGTCTCTCTTGGGACAATCACTTGTTCCCTGAAGCTCAGGTTTCCCCCGAATGCACTGGGAACAAACCAGTCAGAGAATATCATGGCAAAGGTGCTGAGAGCCATATTTTCCAGTATCATTGGTAAGAGTCGTTCTCTCTGTGTTATCTCCTCTAGTTATGTGTGTTTGAGCTCTTTATGCCTCGTTTACTGTTACAGTGAATGCAAAGCAATGAGGAATTCCCAGCAACTCCCTGGTTTTAAATATTTATACTAGGACTAACAAAGTGTAAATCCTCATGGAGCAAAATAAGGATGAGTGACCAAGTATTGAAAAAGAGTGGAATGAATTGATAGAACCAGAACATTCTTCAGGATACAAAGTGAGAATTGCTAGAACATGAGGTTGTGTAGTGGCTTGGTGATAGTCAGTTTGGTCTTGGATAAGCCTAAACATGTTCTTCTGATGGAATTCCAAGAGGAATTTCTTCCTGAAAAGGGTGGTCAGACACTGGAAGGTGCTGCCCAGGGAGCTGGTGGAGTCCCCATCCCCGGAGGTGTCCAAGGAAGGACCGGGTGTGGCACTCAGTGCTCTGGGCTGGGTGATCAGGCACAGGTTGGGCTGGGAGGGCTTTTCCAACCTCAGTGTTCTGGGTACTCCTGAAATACCTTGGAAGTGCAAAACACCTTTGCTCAAGTGCTTGTTTGCTTCCCTGTGTGGAGTTTCATGGTCTGCACAAGTGGTATGACTTGATTTCTGATGAGAAATTCCAAGTTTCTTGGATCACTCGGAGAAGTGGATGATCAGTTTTCCAGTGGGATTGGAGGTGAGCACGGGCTGTGGTGGCACGAGCGCAGCTACAGGTGCAGAAAAGGTGGTGATTTTTGATGATTTTTCTTGCTCATGGAGAAACCCTCGTTCCAGGCTCATGCTGAGGACTCTGTAATGGATCATCACTTCCGCAAGCCCGCGAATGACATCACATCCCAGCTGGAGATCAACTTTGGAGACCTGGGCCGCCCCGGCCGCGGTGGCAGAGGGGGCCGGGGGGGCCGAGGGCGCGGAGGCAGGGCCAGCCGTGGAGGCAGGACTGACAAGGTGAGAGCTGCAGCTTCACCCACACGGGGGTTGAGTTCCTCTTGTTGGGATTTTCCTACAGGTAGTTTTAGGAGTTTTCCTTATTCCTGGGGGAGATGCCCCTGACAGAAGACAGCACATTTCTAAACCAGCTAAAGTGTCTTTTCTTACAAGCTTACTTTAAACAAGGTTATTGAATGTTTGAGCGGAGTTGTCATTAAACACAAAAAAAGGAGGGCAGGGAGTAGGCTGAATTAAAAAAAGCACCTGTCTTTGTGTTTGAACCTGAAAAACGACTTTCCAGGATGGACAGACCTGAATGTACCATGAGCTGCTTCAGTTTGTGCCAGAGCAGAACCCCATGTGCTGGAGTGGTTATTTTCAGACACAGTCAGGACACTTTCTGTGCATTGTGACCTGTTGGGGGTGACAGACTGGTTTTACAGCTGCATGTCATATCTTGAATTTGAGGAATTTAGATTTTTTATGGGGAAATAGGACTCACTGTTTTTTCTCTAACCTTCAGTAATACTTTTCCTTCTCTGGTGCTAAAACACTGGGGAAATACCCTGGAAAAGTACTGACTGGGGTTTGGGAAAGAAATATATGAAGTTGAGGTACTGTAGTATAACTACAGAGAAGATTTGATTTAATATGGATCACTTATTTGGCTCAAAGGCATCTAATCAAATTGTTACTAATTAGAAAATGAGCTCAGTCTGTGTGCTGTGGCTTCACACAGATCAGACTTGCTCATTTTTGTCTCTTACAGGAGACACAGACTTTTTTTCTGTAAGTTTTAGGCTTATTAGTTGGGAAACTCCTTCATAATGCCAATATAAGAGTATTTTAAAGAATTTAAATTAAACAGCGGTGGTTTGCTCTGAGTTGTTTCGCTAATATTCTTAAAGAATGCTGACATTAAGTAGTTCAAAGGTTTTCTGCACCTGATTTTATGTTGCCTTTGTTTCCTTCCAGTTGGTTAAGGAGTTTGACGTGATCCACACGCCCAACCAGGTTGGTGATCTCTGCACGTGCGTTCCCTCTGGTCAAGGACCAAACCCCCTCACTTTTATTGTCTGGCTTTCTGTTGTGTGCTGAGAAGCAGAAGATGCTGAGGCTGTAGCTTAAAACCCTGCTGTTACTTTTTAATTCTGGCTTGTGGCCCACAGAGTCTTAGCTAGGCAAGACAGAATCTTAGTCTCGTCTATAGGTGTTGATACAACTTTTATTGAAATGGTTTAAATGTATTCCTTGATAAATTAATACCATGACAGGAAATTCCACTATATTGGTTCTTCCTACTCTACTCATCCGTATCCCTCATGGGCAAAATGAAGAGTGTCCTGAAATACTTAATTTCTGCGTTTCACTGCAGCACTGGCTTTTACATGTGGTTCAGAGCCTTTTAAAAAACTCTTTTGGGGCATACTCAGGACATTCTTGGCTAATGTACGAATGTTTAGGGCTAGGTTGGCACAAAAATTCTTTCTATCAACATGTAGTTTGTGACTTGGGAAGAATTAAAAGCGGGAAACTACAAACAGGCCTTTTCTGTAACACTTCAGTCGTCCCTCAGGAAGGATTTATGGCTCTGTGCCAGTAAAATGACATGAGCTCACAGGTAAGGATCTGCCCATGGCAGGGGGTTGGAAGTAGATGGTCTTTAAGGTCCCTTCCAACCCAAACCATTCCAAGATTCTATGATGGAAGAAGAGTTGCACTTGGAACCTTGTGCAGTAATGATGTCCAAGCACAGTCTGATTGCCTACAATTCCTCTTCAGATAGTTTTGATTCCAGAAGTATAAGGACTATTTCTGGTCCTTGAAATAGATTTAAAAAATTGCTTTTGTACTACATTGTCCAACCCCAGACTTCTCACTCTGCTGTGCACCTCTAAACCAAGGTAATAACTCTGACGTTTCTCTTTCAGTCAAGTGCTTCTGCTCCTGACGTAGATGACCCAGAGGCTTTCCCAGCTCTGTCCTAAACTGGATGTCATAAGCCAACCCTGCCCTGGTCGGGCTCTCCTCTCCGAGGCTTGCATGCTTAAGGATCCTAAAACAACTAAGAATCTTAAAAAAACAAAACAAACAAAAAAAAAGAGACTGTCATTCATACCATTCACACCTAAAGACTGAATTTTATCTGTTTTGAAAATGAACTTCTCTCGCTACACAGAAGCAACAATATGGTAGTCAGTTTTGTATTTAGAAATGTAATGGTAGCAGGGATGTTTTCATAATTTTTTCAGAGATTATGCATTCTTCATGGATACTTTTTTGTATTGCTGCTTGAAAATATGCGTTTCCAAACTTGAAATATAGGTGTGAACAGTGTGTACCAGTTAAAAGCTTTCCCTTCATTTGTGTTCATTTTTTTAATTCAGGATTTTAGACTTTTTTCTCCCAACTCCAAACTGGGTTTTAAGTATTGCACACTATTTCCATTTCCTTAATTTCTGTTTAGCAGATTTTTCTCAGCCCATGGTCTTTTGGAATATGTGGAATACGAATTTGGCAGACTGTTAGTGCTGTATGGAATGAACTCCTGGAGTACTTTAGTTTTAATGCTTAATTTCAAACATGGAAAATCAGTAATTTTTCATCTCTGTTAGGTAGTTTGTTTACAAAAAACCTTTATACAAAATTGATACCAGATACTTGAAATCAAGATCGAAAGCACATTGGTTTGTAGTTCAATACCTGTATTGATCCAGAATGATGTGTGGGTAATTGGTCTGAAAACCAGGTTTTTAAAATTAATGTATCCCACCTTCACTCACCCTTCTGACCTTTATTCCCTCCTCCTTCCTTCAACAGAACAAGATGCTTTGTTGGCAAAAAAAAAAAAAAAAAAAGAAGAGTTTTTAAATTACCTTTGCTTTTGTTTGAGAGGATACCCTGAGAATGGGGTAATTCCTGTTGTGGGAGCTGGGATAGCCTGAGATGGGGGTAATTCCTGTCGTTGGAGCTGGGAGGTGGGGGGAAGGCAGTAGCTGTGGCTCTGTAGTCCACATGGACTCAGGTGGGATGTGGGATTGAGCAGCACTGTCTGGCACACAGGTACATCAGTACCTGCTGTACTCCCAGCACTGCTCCCAGGTCTTCTGGGGAAGGAACCCCAGGCCTTTGCTGGCTCTGGCAGGAGGGATTTTTGGCTCATTGTCTCCCAGCACTTCAGCTGTCCATCAGAATTTAGCCCTGGCTTTGTGCAGTGCTCAAGATCTATTTGGCAGATCACCGTGAATGTTTTTCTGAGAGTGATTGTAAGAAACCCCTTCTCCCCCTCTGAAAGTTCACTGTAGGTTTACTTTCATCCCTGTGAGCAGGAACATCACCACACACAAAAGGAGTTGAACAAATGACTAAGAAAGAGGATTTCTTAGGGTTTTTATCTGCAGCATTTGTTAGGAGATCAGGAGCAGATTTCCCACTTTATTTCATGTTTTACTCTTTGGACAGCTTAGAACATATTTGTAGTTTCTTAACTAGGTAGATAGAAAACTAAAGGTAACACCCTATTTTTTTAAAAACTGTACAGGACTGGCAAGAAGTGTTGGAGACCTTTGAATATGAAATCCCAACCTCCTCAGTTGTGGTGTTAGTGGCTGGCTTGCTTTTCCTGAGCAATTTTCTACAAGCGCTTGTGTTGTGAACCACTGTGGATAATCATTGATCTGGTTGTTCAGTGCACTCGCCTGTATTTAAAGCTCCAGGGTGTGAGGAGGAGGGTGGTAAAATCTCTTGGTTCAGCTCTCTTGACCTTGTACTCAATGTGGGGCAGGTCCAACATGGAGTTGTTCCTCTTCCCCCTGCCTTTGTGGTTTGATGGGATGTGTTGCAGTTCCAGCACTGGGAACACCTTGGATAACACAACTAATACCTTTATGCAGAAACACTTAGAGCAAAGCTTTCTCTGGAGTATAGGCTTCCTTCCCCTTATCCAAACTGTGTGTTTGCCATTCCAGTTGCCATTCTGCTTTTTTCCAGATGATTCTGGGCGGGGATTTAGGACCCTGCAAGCTGAATTTAGCCAGTGGCTTTCCCTTCTCCTGCCATGTAGCACAGAACAGTCCCAAACAGCACCTCATGTGGGATTTTCAAGACAGCTTGTACTTACACATGGTCCTTCTGCTGTTCTGACAGATGTAAATTTGCCTCTTTCAGTCCATTTGTGTCAAGAACTAAAACTGTGAACATTTATCTTTAATATTGGTGGGTGTTAACTGAAATAAAAGTTTATTTTCATGCTCTTTTAAAAAAATGTCCTGAAAACACATGGAAATGAAACCACTTAGGGTTAATAGTGTCTCATCTAGGTTCTGCCTCAAGAGGTCCAGCCTGCCTGTGGTGGTGCCCAGGCATTCCCATTCCCAGGATGGACTTTGCCTTGGGAAAACCCAAGTAGCTTATGAGTAAGGAGCTTGCTCTTAGGAACATTTTCTGTCCTCTTCCTGCTTCTACTGTCACACCAGATCGAGAGGACTAGATCTTTTAAAATCTGATCCATTGGAAAAGATGGTCAAGCGGAAAAAGTCAGAAACACACGGTGCAAATTGGCTTTGGAATGTAACAATGGCTAGGTTGGAGCATGAAAGTTCATCTTGCAGTGCTGCCAGTGCATGGCTGTGGTGCTGGGAGGGAACAAGAGTGATGAACCAATGCAAGGATTAGCAGGGTGTGGGAAAGGACTTGGATTCTTCTGGAATGTCAGAAATTGGTGGGAATACGTGGTGTTTGCAACTGGAGGAGCTCAGACCGCCCTGACCTGTAACAACTCTGCCCAGGGTGATGGGTTTGCGTAGCCACACCTCTGGTTTTATAATAAAGGCAAGAATTGGACCTAAAGCTGCCACTTCCCAGCACGTGCCAACCTGCTTCTTTCCTAAAATCATTCCAAGGACCACGCTGCCTTCCCTTTGTACTCCTGGGCTGCTCTGCCATCCCTAGGGACCAGGCTCAGGGGGTTTGAGCAGGGCTGGGTGTCTCAGGCAGGGTCCGTGAGGTGGGCGCTGCCCTGGGACGGGAGACCTGATTGGGGGAAAATGGTTCCTTTGCCCTTACTGGGAGACTCAGGTCCTTTCCTGGAACACTTCCAGGTTGGAGTTAAAAAAGTCTGATCATTGTCCTACTAATGATTCTTGACTTAACACTTGATTTAAACTGCTCTGTGTGGAAGTTTTATCTGGAGACGTGCAGAATGAGGGCTCCAGTGTTCTGTTTATATGTTGAAGTAGAAGATCGACATGCAGAAGTGGATGAATGACAAAATAATGCTTTTTAAAAAACCCACTTTTTTGGCTTCTGATTTGCCTTTCTGGGTGTCTAATTTGGTTGTACCCAGCCGACTTGAGGTACTGATTTGTGATATGATGCCCAGCCAGTCCTCTTGGCAGGGAGGTTGCCAGGTGAGGTGTGGAGAGCAGGAAACTGGTGTCACAGTCCAGATGGAGCTGAGTAATCAGTGTAACCCTGGGCTGTTACTGTCTCCAGGGGCAGCGTGTGGGTATTGACAGGCATGAGCCTGTTCTGCAGTGCCTTCGAACATGGGAGCACTGGGGCTTTCTGTAGAAGGTAACCTAGCCACAACTGGAATGAAAACAGGGAACAGACTGAGAAAGATCCCCCAAACCCGGCCCTGGGGATTTGCTTGTCTCTTCACACACGAGACAGTGTGGAGAGCCCCAGCCTTGCTGTATCAACCTCGTGGTGCAGGTGCATCTCTGTCACAGCTTTGCCAGGAGACCTTTGCTGTTCCTGCCAGGTGGGATAATGGCTGTCCATGGAGGTGTTCTGGGATGGTGGTGTCACAGAAGGGTTTCGTCAGCAGTTTTGCCACTGCTCGTGTAGCTGTCAGTGGATGGAGAGTGGCCACCTGAGCCTGGGGAGGAAGAGGAGGGTGCTCCAGGTAAGTTCAGACCTGGACTACATCTCTAGCAGCAATGTTTTGGCTTTATTTTTGTTTTTAAAGACACCTTGTTCTTTGTAAAGCTGCAGCATAGCCCTGGAGCTTGACCAGAGAAAACAACAGGAAACCAATTTCAGATTTCCGACATTTTATTTATATACACACACATCTCATAAACAAAGTCATTAAATGTGTAACACACTTCAAACCTGTAATTAGAATACTTCAATAAATGATTATAATTCCTCTTGACAGTCCATTTGGCTGAGTACACGTGCTGCCTGCTGCTTTTGTTTCTGGGGAGGAATTCTCCTTTTCTGAACTGAGCCAGGAAGTCCCAGCCGTGTCCCTCAGTGCCCCCATGGGACTGGTGTCACTGGGAGCTCTGATTTTGTGCCAGCGGAGGAGCAAGGGCTGCAGCCCATGTCCTACTCGACTGGATGCTGAGCTCTTTCATCCTTCTGTCTTGTAGTCCCCTTGCTCTTTCTGGGTTGAAATGATGTTAAGCACAGCTCTGATTCCTGGGGTGGACCCAGCCAGGCTGGGCCATTCGTGACCAGGCAGTGGGACAGGGCTCAAGGCAACCCGAGTAATTAATGATCCTCTCTCCAAGCCAGCTCTGCCATCCCAAGCTGTGCCTGAGTGCTGTGGGTGAAGAGATGCCACGTTGAACAGTGAGGTGTGACTTGGAAAGGTTTGTGGGTTGGGGTTTGTGTCATCTACAGGTGTCACGTACAAGTGACTGGTCTGTCTCTCCGCACTGAAATGCTTCATAAAGTGCAAAACACCAGGCCAGGCTCCCATCACCCACCCCCCACCTACCTTGTGAAGGAGCTACAGTTGAGCTTCACTCTGTCCAAAGTGAGATTCCCTTCACAGCAGAGGGTGGGTGCCAAAAAGGTGGTTGGGAAGATGGACAGCAGGTGGCACTCGAGCTCGGGGTGGTCCATGGGAGTGTCTGCGGGCAGGGGCAGGTCTGTGGGGCTGGGGCTGGTGATGTACTCGGGCAGGTCCATGGGGTGGTCCCTGGTGGTGTCTGGAGGTGGGGGCAGGTCAGTGGGGCCGGGGTTGGTGATGTACTCGGGCACAGGCTGCAGGTGCTCCATCGCTTCCACCACCAGCCTCTGGTACAGCTCAGGGAGCTGCTGCTCCTCCCCAGGCTCCGAACTTGAGCTCTCCTGTGTCCAGTCCCCATGTCTCCTGCTGCCAGCGCTGCCCACCAGCAGCTTGTCCCCAGGGTCTGGGGGATCAGGCTGCATGAAAGCTTCCTCCACGGGGGTTGGTTCAGGCTCTTCAAAGCCGATGGTGCTGGGCAGGAACAGGATACAGGATGAGCTCAGCTCTGCCTGTGGAGGGACATGGAATTAATTCTGTGGTGAATATCCTGAGACATCCCTCCCCACAGCAGCTCATCCTGCTAAAACCAAAGATCTCTGCATTCTTCTTGAATCTAATTTGCTCAGCACTTCCTCTGGTCTAGCGCGAGCATGGGGATTATCCACTGCCAGAGATTGCTGGATTTGCTGCTTGAGGAGATTACTGGCTTGCATGGCTCCAGTCGATGGTTTTTTTGAAGGTCGTGGGATTAGAACACAAAACCGCTGTAATTTACCTTGGTAACCATGAAGCTTTTGGCCCACGTGGCATTAGCTGGGTCGGGAATGGCTTTGTTCTGCCACTGTGGCAGGAGCACGGAGAGGAGCGAGTGGAACCTGCAGGGAGGAGAAATGCAATTAAAGGCATGAACAGGGATACCTGCAGCACCCATGTGCTCCTTGGGGTGGGATTAACCCAGGAGCTTGGTGTGATCATGGATCTGACCCCAGCTGGGTGGGGTTAATTCCCAAGGCTTGTACCCCTTCAGTTTGGTTTTGATGGAAGCAGACCTTAAGATCTGGGTTAAAAATTCACAGTATCTGTGAACTACTGCCATATTATAATCTCAGTGGG